GGGATATCACATCAAAGTCCTTCACACCCCATCTCTCAACTATGTGTTCTCAGGCTGTAAGTTGCTGGGTCCCTGTCAATAGCTAGAGTTTCTAGAAACAAACATGACCATCACCTCTGCCCATTGCTGGCTCTAATGTCCAACTCCTTGGGACTTGGAATGAAATAAAAATATATAGGGCCAGCCACGACTCTCTAGCTTTTGAATTTATTCTGTAGAGCCCTTAACCAGGTATGGGCTGGAAGTCCTGGGCATCCTGGGATTCTGGGACATCCTACCTAGCAGGATATTTTTCTGTTCCATTGTCATCAGGGTCCTAAGTTCTAACTTAGGAATCGGTCCTAAGTTCTAACTCTGTGGCCTATTTTTATAGCCTCTGGGTTTGTTCGTTAGTCTTGTTTTTACACTTATTTACTTTGTGGGGGTCATATGAATGCATGCTTGCATGTATGCATGCATGCACATATGTGTACTTAAGTCAGAAGACAACCTGTGACAGTTAGTTCTCTCCTTCTACCACCTGGATTTGGGGGAACAAACGCAGGTAACCTGGCTTGGAGGCTAGTGCCCTTACCCACTGAGCCGTCTCACCGACCCAACCCCTTACTTCTAAGTCTGAACTCTTCAAGATGATCTGAGACTCAGGCACTCAGTTCCCTGCCTCATTTCTACCATTTCCTTCCCCAGAATCATAATCCTCCAAGTCTATTCTCACCCATGACGACAGCCAGTCATCACTCAGACAGCCACTGCTTCTCTAGATGGTGAACTCGCCTCTCTAGAAGCCATAATGTGATGAATCAGACTTCATTCATAGAAGAGAGCAGGTAATAGCGAGCAAAACTGCATGGAGGGCCTCTGCAGGATGCAAGGTGGCTCAGTGGGCAGAGCTACTTGTGGCCTGATGTGGAAGTCTGACCACCTGAGGGTTCTGCGAATCCCTAGACCTGACGTAAAGGTGAAGGGAGAGAACTCACTCTGTTCTCCACATGACGGCGTGGCCTAAGTGCCCCTCCCGGTAACAATAACAAGCTTGGTTTTGCTTAAAGAGAGCAGTAAAGGGAAGACAATCATAATAAAATGTTCACTATTTTTACTGTACTCAAGCAAAACTGCATCAGGACTGCACCAGGACTGAAATGGTTGCCTACCCTAAGAGATCACCAAGTTTCTCTGTAAACCTCAATTTAGCCTTCTCATATTGACACCCTCCCACACGTCTGCCCTTATCCCACAGTGGGTACAGGTCAACATTTCTAGTTTCAACATGTTCCCAGCTCCCACAAGTCAGAGATCACAAGAGCACGTGCCCCTGGTGTCTACAACTCTGTTTACTCTGTTAATGCTGTAGCAGTCTGGCTAACTCGATGGTTTCAGTCTGCAAAGGGAGCAAAAAGCAGCAAGAGTGAGTACCTGTGTGTGGGAGTGAGGAGGTGAAGCAGAGACTACAGGAGGAAGAGAGGAGGGCAGGGAAGCTGCTGCTGTCTTTAGGCTACAGGCAGCTGGCAGGGACGTCCATCTTCTCAGGATTGACAAAGACCCCACCACACTCTGACTCAGCCTGAGACTCACATTAGACACATGAACGTGCCATTCCTTCCAATACCAGTGACCAAGGAAGGCTAGTCAGCAAACAATGCTCTAAAATAGACCTTCTAAAGGAAGCAAACTGAAGAACATTCTATTCTTCCCCCTGTTGAACAAACTAGATAAATAACTGTTACATGAAAACCACCAGCTCTTGATCCGTCCAAAATCTCAACTATTTGAGAATAGGACTTGAGTAAACATGCTCTGTGGCTTCCTACAATTTGGCAAACTACAACGGAACTGCCAAAATGCCAGGTTGGGGAAAAAACAAAAACAAAACAAACAAACAAAAAAAATCCTGACTTTTCCAACTTCTTTTGTTTTTCCCAGTATGGTTTGCACCTTTACTCTGCGGTTCGGTCCTCTGACTCCCAGGTCCCACCATCAGCCCAATTTAAAGATCTGGTTTACATCAACTTACCTGATGTCCTGGCATCAGGCTGGCTCACCTGTCCATAAGAGCAGAGCTCTGTCTTACCCGACACTATGCCCTCCTCCTGCCTACAAAGGGCTTCTCTTAAATGTAACGTGAGGTTCCCTGGAGTGTCCTACTCCCAAGGGACCTCCCTCTACACCTTGCTTGTTTACCATGGAGACAGCATCTGGTAATATATGTTTACTATCGGGCCCAGGAGTACTGGCAACAATGGGGCTGGGAAGAAAACACAAGCCACCATTTACAAGCTTCTCAAGAACTTGTGTGTCATGAGCATCACAAACAGGTAAGGGGATGGCAACAGGAAGAATTCCTTCCTGAAGTCCCATGCCAGCAGAGGAGCTATTAGCAGTTGGCTGCTGCCTGAGGGAGAGTCTATTTCCTTTAGGGATGTGCATCCCCCTATCCCCACCCCGGAAGTTGTCCGTGCTTCAGTGGACGGCCCTACACCTGGAAGCACTAACTGGACTCAGTAGGTTAAGCATAAGAGGAAATGAGGTTGGGAGGGAGATGAGGTGGTGGACAGTCAGGGAGGAGTTGGAGGGGGAATTAGAGGGTGGACATGATCAAATATATTACATATACACATATAATACTTGATATGCACATACATATATGCAAAGCTCAAAGAATACATTTTAAAATATGTTTTAAAAAGCAATTCCTTCCTGGATGGTAAGAATGTATAATCAGAGAAAGACAGTAACCAGGCTTTCTGTTGCTCTGATAAAATACTGATCAAAAGGAATCTGGGAAGCAAAGCATGTATGACATATCACGTTTTCAGGTAACGGTTCATCACCAAGGAAAGTCAGGACAGGACACTTAAGGCAGGAACTAAAGCAGAGATCAACTTACTGGCTTGATCTTTCTTCTCCAACTCTGCCCACCTGCCCAGGGAGGTCCCTGCCCACAGCACTGTGGCCTCCTTCATCAATTAGCAGCTATCTTTCTTCTACAACTAGCTTTCTCCCTACAGCTTCCTTCTATCTTTCTTCTCCAACTCTGCCCACCTGCCCAGGGAGGTCCCTGCCCACAGTAAACTACCCTCCTTCATCAACTAGCACTGGCAATGCCTGCAGACACGGCTGTAGGTTAACCCAATGGAGGCAATACCTCCACTGACATTCCCTCTCTGCAGGCGTGTCTTGGTTTGGGTCAAGTTGGCAAAAACTAAGCAGCACACAGGTACACAGAGATGTGTTGTTGAGTACAAATACAGGAGGAACGTATATGTCATATGAAGAACATCCTCTAAAAGTAAAAACTCAAGTGAAGATTCTTCTTCCGGCTTCTACATTCTCAGAAGCAGGTCTAAATAAGCCGCTCCAAGACAACTGCAGTTGGTGATTCTAGATCCCGCCCGTGGTCATTTGATCTTAGACTAGACAGTCTTCTAACTTTGAAAATGAAAACGCGAAAGTCAGGAAATACACGCTGGTGATGGAAAACGGACAGTTTATCTGCACTATGCTGCTGGTGTCAAACACCAGCACACTGCTGAGAAAACTTTCATTTTCATGCAGAGAATGGATGTAAAGTCTGTATGTTTACGAGGCACACCAGTGCCTTGCTGCACACAACTCTTGTGACATCAGTGACGATGTTTTATAAAGTTTCAACTAAAAGCAGTTCAGCGGGGTAAAAGATGAGCGCCTCTCTGAGTCTGTATCAGTGGCGCCTGTTTTTGCATCAAACCGCTCTGCCCTTCGAGACATGGGACTAGTGGAGTGCCCTCACGGTGCCCCTTCACTGACCTCACACTGGGTTACTGAATGCCAGGTCTCCGTAGTACAGCCATGGGCTTTTCACAGCAAGCCATCTGCAAGGACACCACAGAAGGGCTGCTCTGGAATGAAATGGCACTGTGGGTACAGTTTTTATGTGCAATCCTTGTCAGTCCACAGCACGGTCTTGTTTCTATACGCATGTCTCAATATAGAGGCAATCCACAAAGAGTGCGAGACGGAAATGCACAGTATCTGTGGTGCAGTCACACTCTGCCAACTACTGGAATGGTGAAGGTATACCACACTTTGAAAATAAACCCTCCAAAAGATGCAGAGAGAGAGAGAGACAGAGAGAGACAGAGACACAGAGACACAGAGACACAGAGACACAGAGAGATACAGACTCACACACACACAGAGACACACACATAAATATACACCTTGATCATACACACACACACACACACACTCACTCACACACACACACACACACACACAATTCCATTGCAAAAGGAAGTGGGAGACAACTTATTTGCAGCAATGAAAAAACTGGGTAAATCCAGGTGAACGCTGCTATACCTTCCTACTTCTCTGGCACTAGTCTGAGAGTCAAGGACTTTAGGAGCCTAATATAAAATCTACTTTGAAAGGCATTCTGCAAAGCATCCTACATGCTTAATTTTCTTTAAACAAGACACTAATAAAATCACAGTGGCATCTAATATCATTTTTAATTCCTTGAGGGTAGGAGCCATGGCTAATCTTCAGTGTCTGACTGAGTGGGAACATTAGTTTCCCTCTTGGTAGAAACAGCCAATAAAATATTCCTAGTCCTACCAGGCTGCATTATTGAAGGTTCCTGAAGGAAATAAGAAATGGGTTGTTCCATGCTGAGCAACAGCACCCAGGCCAGAGCAGTGTCTGTGCTCAGTCAAGAGTGATTTTCAAGGTAAGGAGAGCAGAAACTGACAGCTGCAGACCCAGCCACTGAAGCAGGGAATGTTGGAAACATCTCACTCCTTTACTACAGAATGAGTTCCTGTCAGTGGGTGCATACGCAGTGTGAAATCAAACCCAAAGCTCCCGATGCCGGGATGCTCAACCTGCTCCTCAGAGACACCAGACACCCAACAGTCGTGGGCGGGAGGAGTGGGGGGGCATGCCAGATTGAACCACTGAAGGATAGGATTTATTTTTCACAGAAAATCTTGATGACAAATAACAATTTGAGATGAAGTACTTACAAACTCTGGAGTTCGGAAATCCTGCTGGTTCTCCAGCGACCCAAAGGTGGGACAGACAATTGTCTGGTCAAAGTTTTCCAGCACTGAAAATAAAGGAGTAAAGAAAATAAGCCAACTGCAAACTGGATACACCCAGCGACAAGAGGGAAGATACTCAGCATCTTAGACCCATCTGCACATTGAGATATTCACATTCTCCAGGACCAAAATCTACAGCAACTATTTCATCCATGTGTCTAGGTCTCAGAATGCTCCAGGCTGCATCGAGCATGGAAAATTACCAGCCTCTACACAGCAATTAAATGTTGAGTGCAGCTAAGGAACTCATTATCCTGCTAGCCTCTTGGGGAACTCTTGAGTCAAATGAGGACGGTCATTTTCTGTTTTAAAATATATTGAGAAGCAGCACCTGATAGACATTTAGGGGGAGCCAAATAAAATCTTGGTAATTTTTACTAGTCACAAACAAGTAAAATTAATTATAATAATATCATCTAACTCATAACAATCCATTTACATTTGAATATATTATCTATATTAAAAATTATCAGTGAATCATTTTACATTTTTCTGGGACTAAGTCTTGGGGATCCAGGGTGATTTTTAAAAACATATTTCAGTACACCAGAGCCACAACCCAAAGGATCAGCAGCCACAGTGACTACTGACCACTGGAATAGGTGACTAGGTCATGGCAGGGTTAGGCGAAGTAGAGGAACCAAGCCCAGGAAGTGGGTCATTCCATTCATGTCTATCCCTGTGTGGTAGTCAAGACCCTTTCACAAATAAAGGGGCTGGCCCAGTGGCTAGGACACCCAGAAAGCAAACCAAGCATCTGCACCATGATCCAAGAGAGTTAGAGAAGCCAGAAGTGAAGGACTCCATACAGGAAGAGTTGGTCAACAGCAGAGAACTTGCCAGGTTCAATCATGAGCACTTAATTCAAAGAGGTGGGAAATAATAGTTAAGAACATTGAAAGACCATCAACTGTTTAAGGAGGTTTACATAGATACTCTCATTCATCAACAGGCCCACATCTCTTCAGCAAGCCACCGACATGAAGGAGGACAAGATTAAAGATGTCAAGAGGGCTGGGGCACGCTGAGTTTATCCACAGCATGCGGCCTCCAATAGTCCTAACAGAGCAGCTACACAGGGATTTAGTTTTCTCAGCAGAAGTGCTATTAATTTTATAAGTCACTACACACCTGACTTCTAACAGGTTTTATGAAATAGCTGGTTCCCACTGATGAAAACAAAAAAAATCTCTTTTCAGTGGCCTAAAAAAGGACAGCTCAACTTGGATAAGGAAATTCATGAGAGACTATGATTGTTTACAAAGCCAGGTTGTCAGCCAAAGTGAGATAATTTATCTGTTTAAAAAGAAAAGCCAATATCAGAATTACATTTTAGGTTCACACTGAATACCTTTGTTTGCACACTTAACTCACACATTAGTATCCCCTATGACCTGAAAAGAAAGGCCAGTAGATGTGACAAGCAGGGAGCCACCTCTTCTGAAGAGCCCATCAGGGGACCCCCTATGTCAGAACCAGGGAAGAAATGGGAAGCAGAGGCTCAAAGAGGCTCGAAGACATCTCTCACGGTGGACAATCAAGATGGGTGTCTCTGAGTAGCCCAGGAGGCTGCAATTTCCATACAGCCTGTTAAGTTCTGATCTGATTATTCCAACAGCCAAACAATAGTTGTCCAAAATAGTTACATTTCTGCAGACCACTTTCACACTTCCTTAAACAGTGTTTCTTGATCAGTGAGTCATAACCACTTTGGTGGTTAAACAACCCATTCACAGGAGTATCTTGCATATCAGATATTTACATTACAATTCCTAACACTAGCCAAATCCCAGTTACGAAGCAGCAATGAAAACAATATTCTGGGCGGGGCTCACCATAACATAAGGAACTGTATTAAATAGTCACATCATTAAGAAGGTTTAGAATCACTGTCCTAAAACATGATTGTCTATACATCAGGCTATAAGAAGTTCTCCACAGATGGAGTACAGCCTGGTTCACACCTGGAATTAAAGACCTAACCTTTCTACAGCACTCTCTGTAGAGACAGTGAAGGTAACACAAGTGGGGTATTTATAACATATTGCTTTATAAAGTTAATGAAACATCATACTTGTGTGTATTTTTATACAACTCCTATAAATCCGATAGCATGACTTCATTTGACATCTTATCTAAATTCCTACAGGCTGAGATATACAATTTATCTCTTGTGTAATGGAGGTCAAAAGCTCAGTGGCATTTCCTTTTGTTCCTTTTCTTCTCCATGGGAAAGGGAGATTTAAGAACGTATTCATTTTGTCTAGTGACTGAAGAAACAAGATATAGTGCCCAGGTGTTGTATTAAATCACAGGCGAGGATGCAAAGGAATAGACTTGTGAGAAGTATAGAACTGCTTAGAGTTCTAGTTATTCTCATAATGGAAACAAACATAGTCACAGGTAATGTCAACACAGAAGAGACACTGAATTTGAATAAATGAAAACAAAACTGGCTTTACTAAAATACCACCTTAGCAGGACAAAACCACAGCTGTTTCTCCCAGGATCTACCACAGCTGAGAAGCAGATGATACATGATGCTAATACAATAGTTAATCTATTAACACAATGGGGACTACTTCTGAGAGAACAAATGTACTCATTTTTTAGAAAACTAATTTTACTTAATAGCTTTTAGAATGTTAAGAACACTGGTTCCCCTTGCACAGGACTCAGATTCAATTCCCGGCAACCATGTGGTGATCCACAGCCCTCTGTAACTCTAGTTCCAGGGAGATGTGGCGCTCACTTCTAGCCTCCAAAAGTGCTAGGCAGACATGTGGTACACATACATGCAGGCAAAACACTCACATACATAAAATAAAATAATCTAAAAATGAAAAAATTATTATCAACTGTCTTACTACAAGTAAAAACCAAATCAGTGAATGTTTAGGCCAAAAGAAGCCCATAAAATATTTGCTTTTGATAAATATAACAATAAATCAATCACAATTATCATAAATGAAAGGAAGTGAGTAATTTTTAAAAACTTTATTGATGCAGTTTGTGTAATAAAGTTTGAAGGTAAAACTGTAAAACCAAGGACCCAATAAAACCAACTAGAAGTTTGGCCATATTAATAACAGGACACTGACAGCCTCTCCAAACATGACAGTCACATGGTTACTTGTGTACCGATTAGAAAAGGAGTGACTTGAATTTACTACCCTGACTATGCAATAGATATAACTTGTACTGCAACGGTGATTGAGATAGTGATACAAAGTAGCCAATAAAGAATCATTACCTATATCTTATAGCTTTCACAACCTATTACTTAACAGAAGACACACTCAGGAAATCCAGGGACAAAAAACAAAGCGGCTGATAAGCAAAGCTCTGGAATAAAGTTCATTTGTATGAGAAGATGCTGTATCTAACTTACAGCGTCAGCAGGGACAAGGAGTCGGCTTTGGATGACTTGTCTTGGAAGGTGACTGCCTACCATTGAAATGATCAAAAACACAGTGAAAATATGAGAAGGCCGGTAATGTTAGGCCTGAGCTGGGGGTGTGGCTCTGGTGTAAAGCTTTTGCCTATCATGTGCAAGGCCCCAAGTTCAATACCCAGGACTGGAAAGGAAAAGAGTAATAATGGCAGAGCCAGGAGCTGGGAAAACAACAACAACGAGGAGGAGGAGGAAGAGGAGGAGGAGGAGAAGGAAGAGGAGGAGGAGGAAGAAGAAGAGGAGGAGGAGGAGGAAGAAGAGGAGGAGGAGAAAGAAGAAGAGGAGGAGGAGGAGGAAGAGGAGGAGGAGAAAGAGGAGGAGGAGGAGGAGGAGGAAGAGGAGGAGGAAGAGGAAGAAGCTGGTGATGGGAAAATAAAAACAATAAGAAGAACAAGAATGGTAGGGCCAGGAGCTGGGAAATAAATTATAAACTAAGAATGGCAGGGTCAAGTGTAAAGGGCATAGACTAAGGACCCTGACAGGTCCTAACACTACCTGCTGAGAGCTGATTATTATCAGTGTATTCATCCCAAGCTGGTGATAAAAATTTCCCTGGTGAGGTCACAGGGCTATTCAAAGATACAAGTGACATTTCAAAAGCATGCTGTTAGAAAAAAATTGAGAGGTCAGCGAGAGAACAGTTAAAAGTGCCAACTGACCTTCCAGGGAACCCACATACATACAGGCAAACTTACCATACTTTAAAAGTAATAATTTTAATTGAACACTATGTAAATATAAATTAACTTTGCATATAAAAACTTAATGTGCAGAGAAACCCTGTCTCGTAAAACCAAAAAAAAAAAAAAACTTAATGTGAAAAGTGAAAACGCAAAATTGCTGGGCATACTAATCTGTGCCTGGCATTTCCAAAAGTCTGATCTATTTATTCCTATTTTCATCTTTATTCCCTTAGATGGTGAATAATAATTTCAGGTTGCCAGTCACCTCAAGACACCAGCTAAAAGTTAAACAATTCGACTGTGAATCAGTCATATTCTAAACTGTACATCTTTTAGATATATTGACTTTTGTCTTCTGGGTGGCTAAGAATAACCCAAGGATACCCCCCTAAATACAAGTTGATAAGAGATTAAAGTAGCATTGAAAATAGAAATCAAAAGAATATCAGCAAAGAACTGTGCCAACATATGGCCAGCTAGAAACAGACTAACATGCCAAGTGAGGTGACTTAGCACTTGGGAGGTGTTGGCAGGACCAGGTGTGTAGGCCCAGCCTTGACTACATAGCGAGTTTGCAGCCAGCCTGGGCTACATATGAAATTCTTCCTCTAAAAACAAACAAACAAATAAACAAACACATCTTGAAAATCAAAGAGAAAAAAACAATAAAATTGGCTGACAGCAGTTACAACTGGAAGAGCATTCACTATGCAGAAGTTCTACAAAATAAAGAAATGCTGGCAAGCCTACAAACTCACCAGCTAGGTGAGATGCAGGTGCATATATAATTATAAGTAATTATGCAATTATAAGTAATATATGTAATTACTTATACATGGACCTTTTGTGGTGACGGGGATTGACCTCA